ATATATATATATATATCCCTCTCTGCATCAGTAATGAATGTCTCCCAAGGCTCTTTTCTGAGGCATTGTTTCCGAGGTCAACACATTTTTATTACACAGAGCCTCAGCCTGTTAAGTTATGGAAAAACAATTATAAAATTATTGTGAAAATCGTGAGAAAGGCCTTAATACAGATGGTAATGTCTCAAAGCTCTGTTTTTTTGGTTGATCAGACTGCTGGGCTTCTTTTCCCAGACTTTCTTTGACTTAAATGGGAGCATTTTGCTGAGTTTAGAAGAATTTTTTTTTTTAAATATTACATGGAATGTTTGTTTGCTTTATATAGAAGCATCGCATGAAAAAAGCTAAAGTCTGTCTCCCTTTACAGAGCAGATAGACCCATTAGCAGTGTCTGTATCTGCTGCGCACTGCTTTTATCTCTCTCCAAATTCACCTTCTCTTCATTGTCACTCATAGCCTCTCTCTGTGTTGGGTGTGTAAAGTATAACACATCTGGCTTTGAGATGTCAGAGTGGGTGGTTTGAATGAAGTACAGAGTAAAGTGCGGAGCTGAGGATATCAGACAGTGAAAACATATTAAGCACTTAAAAAAAAAAGTCCAAACATTCACAGCTTTTGAAATGTGTAAATATGTAAATTGATTTGTGTAGTGGACACTCTGTTAGAGACACACACACTTCAAGAGACATATTTCCATAGAAAAATCACAAAAGAGATCTTTTTAATATCTTAGTTGTTGTTTTTTTGTAAAATTATTTTATTACTGTCTCTCAAACATAACATAATTAAACAAGAACTTCATGAAACATCGTTATTTTCCAAAAAGGCATCAAAAATACATACATATATCCATTCTTTAAACAATTATCTACAAATGATGGTTCATATTACATTATTTATGTGACATGATTGCTAAGTATGTTCACAAGTTTCTGTGTGCATGCGTATGTGTGAATATTTCTTTTTTAATTTCTTCTCAGCTGCTCCAGGTAAGTCTGAACCCAGACGGAAGAACGGCAGACTGGGCTGAGAACTTCACAAACACAAGGTTTGAAGAAGCTCTGAACGGGGCGATATTTGTTTCCTGAAAAAAAGCAAAGAATAATTACATATCCACATTTCATTTAAGTATAAACACACTACTGTTTAAAAGTTTGTGGTCGGTAAGATTGTTTAAAAAAAGTTTTTTGAAAGGAATCTCACCAAAGCTGCATCTATTTGATCAAATATACAGTAGAATATTGTGAAATATTATTGCAATTTAAAATAACTCTTTGCTATTTGAATATATTTTAAAATGTACTTTATTCCTGTGATCAAAGCTGAATTTTCAGCATCATTACTCCAGTCTATATCAGCAGAAAGAAACATTAGAAAGCTACATCATCATCATCATCATCATAATCAGATACTAGCACAGCAGTATAACACCATACTACTTTTATTATTTCTGCAGTATGTATGAGGCATGCAAGACTTCTGTATGTATGAAATATTCGGATTACCTGCATTTGCCCACATGTGCAGCAACAGAGCATACTGCACTGGGTACTATATCCCATAATGCAATGCACTCACCTTGACACCTAATTACCAATGCGACAAATAAAGCTCAAGTAATATCAGCTATGATTTTCTGAACAAATGCTAGGATATTTTTCTACATAAAACGGGAGTGTTTATTATTTTTAATTGATAAAAATTGACAGTTAATTTAACTGTATTTAAGACAAGAACTGGACTGCTTGCTGGATTAAACATGAATGTAATTAGGTCATGTCAATGTTATTTTAGTATTATTTATATGCTATTAAACTATTTATTCATATTTTGAATAAGTTTTTATTTTTATTTGATTTTTATTTAAAGTTTTAAGGAATTACAGGTTTACAATTCAAGTGTGTATTTTTAAATATTATAAATAAAATGTAAATTAAAAATATTTATTAAATATTATATAAATGTTTATTAAATAAAATATAGATTTAAAAAAAAAAAATCTATTTAGCTTTATATTTACTTCAGTTTTAGTATTTTAAGTTATTGATTTTAGTAATTGTATTAACTTATTTTATTTCCGTTATTTACTAAGGCAACATTTCTAATTTTCATATGTTTTAAATTGAAGTTTTTCATCTAAAATTAATGTTTTAGTTTATTTCAGCAGTCTAATAATAACAACACTGGGTCATATTTAAGTGACAATGTAGCCTACTACTGTTGAATGATTTTTAAAAAAATTGAAAAAAAGATTGAAAAAAAAAAGTATTTAGTGTATATTGCACAGTTGGTTGGTAGTATATAGTCTGCTGGTATACATAACGTGCAGACATATACACACACTGACAATATAATCACACCGACATGAGTAAAAACACTAGTAATCACAGGGAAAGGACTCACCTGCCACCTGATATGTGAGGCTAAATCCGTTGCCAGTCATGAAGGCTTCTGATTTGAAGGTGATGTGCATGGTGCGGCCATAACTGTAGAAATCTGGTCTATGCCACAGAACTTATGAGTCTGTCCATAATCTCCCTGAGAGACAAAACAAAAAATGTAAAGACATTGTGCTGCCAATTAAATACAACATAAAAGTGAAGACAGGAAACTTCAATAAACTTGAAAATGTTAGTGTATGATAAATGGCAATGATAAAAGAAAACTATGTTTTAAATTCAATTAAATAGTAAATATAAAATTAATAATATAAAAAAAACAAGTATTAATAATATTACTTTTTTACAATATTTTAAATACATTTTTGAGATCAACTGACATATACAATAAGGTCAAGAGATAATGCTTACTACTGTTTGAAATGTTTAGTTGTTATTTAAAGAAAAACATAATACTGTACACTTACACATTACATACTGTAGTTTTCACATACCATCCTACAACACATAAACAGAATTTTCAAATTTATCCACTTGGGAAAGCATCTTCAAAAAGCTCCTATTTCAATGGACAAACTCATTGCCTCATTTGGGAACGGAAGGACAAAACTAAATAAAAAGATGAGGATGTGGCCTAAGAAAATGATCTGATATTGTGACCTGAGAGATTCTAGATTGTTTTAGTTATTTAGTGAGGCTGTGTTCGGGCGACTGGCTCTCACCACAGCGAAGTCCTTAAACTCCAGGAAATTGCTGGCACAGCTCTGGCTGGAGTCCAGGTGAAACTACTGAACAGACACTTTCACCACCTCCTGAGAAGGAGCATCCAGCACCCAGCGGCAAGAGGTGAATGGCGGGTAGGCGTTGTGGTAATATGGGGATGTGATGGTCTGAGATGATGCTGTGGCATTGAATGCTCCTCCACAAAGACCTAAAAGTGTGAAAAAGCATTTTTGCATGACTGATTCAACATGAAATGACCTGCCATTGGGACAAAAAGTTAAATCTTACTGTCCACTGTGCTGTAGGTGGCATTGAAGCCACGGCATTGAACAGTGTCGTCCAAGATGAAGTGCACGGTCAGGAGGTTACTGGCCGATATGAAGGGGGCGGGTACTACATCTCCACAGAATGTGCCAACCAGTGGATAATTAGCACTGTCACCATCATAGATCTACAGAAGGGTAAGATGCAAGTATAAATATATAGTGTGTTGGAAATTATGCTGCATTATAATTTATGTTATGTTATGTTATGTGTGACAGCTTTTACCTTGACATAAGGGAGTCATGGCCTAATGGTTAGAGAGTCGGACTCATAGCCCAAAGGTTGTGGGTTCGAGTCTCGTACCGGCAGGGATTGTAGGTGGGGGGGGGGAATGTACAGCACTCTCTCCCACCTTCAATACCATGACTGAGGTGCCCTTGAGCAAGGCACCGAACCCCCCAAAGAATAAATGGCTGCCCACTGGTCCGGGTGTGTGTTCACGGTGTGTGTGTCTTCACTGCTGTGTGTGTGCACTAAGGATGGGTTAAATGCAGAGTATGTATGCTAGTATGGGTAACCATACTTGGCCACATGTCACGTCACTTTTTTAAAAAAAATAATCGTATCTGCAGAGGGATCCAGTGGGGCCCTCAAAGTATGTGAATATGAGGTTAATGCCTTTATTGACCTCCGCAGCAATTACAGTCCATACGTGGCTCATACTGGTCATTCATGTCAATATCAGGAGAACCAAGCATTCCAGTGGGGGAAGACAAGTAGCCGCCACAGCCCTGCTGAGGACCTGGAGAAAACGATGGATGAGGAGGTGGAGAGAGTGAGTGAGAGAGATTTATAACTGTAGGATGTGCTTTCAAGAAACCACCTGCAGGAGGCAGCAGAGTCCACAAAAGTGACAATTTGTGAGTTTTTGTCGTTGTTTGTTAAATTCAAAGCCTAGTGTACTCTTAGAAATTGTCCAAATTAACTATTAGCAGATTTATTTAAAATAATAAAAAAGCTGATTAAAATTATTTACTCATCTTGTTCTTATGGCGTACACATTTTTGTCAAATATTATTTGATTGAGAACGTCCATCCACATGATACCGTGTGTCTGAATAAAGGTAAAAATGTACTAAAACTAAACTAAAATTTAAGTTAATATTATACTAATAAATATAGATATGTTTAATTATTATATAATAGCATTTATTTAAATTTATAAAAGTAAATAAAATTGTTAATATTATATGAAGTGAATTTTACAATGATGTATATTATAAATAATTACAAATATGTATAATATGAATTATATATATATGATGTAGATTTACATTCACAAAAATAAATACACACAAGTTAATATTAATATAAGTAAAAAATATATATAATATTACATATAATATAATATTAATATTTTATTATATTTACAAAACATAAATTGAAGTTAATATTATATTAAGTTAATAAAATTTAGATTACAATTAAAATGAAGTTAATTTTATAATAATAAAGTTAATACATAGTTTTAAATAAAATTACTGTAAATTCAATAATGTATTGTCAAATTTCATTCAATAAATGAATTAAATGTATATAACTGTTCATGTAAATGCTAACCAGCCACAAAAATACTACGTTTATTTGCATATAAATTGTAGGACACAACAAAATAATTAGGGGTACTTTATTGGCTCTTTCACAGCACTAGCCAATAAAGACTTCTGTCAGGATGAAGGAACAGACTCTGAGGTCTGAATGAGTTGTGTTGTTCTCAAAGAAAAACAGTGGTGGTTGTAGGATGGGGCGGTTCACTCAACACCCCCAAAGACGAGCTACAAAAGTGTTTACAAATTCTCCTTCAAGAGCCTTGATCTGTGAGCAACATCACTATGGAAAAGTTGCAGAACAATCTAGTATCTCAGAAAGTGATCCCACTAATGGGAGAGGGGGGGATCCCTGAAAGAAAGCCTCTAGGGACAGATTACGGGTTAAGGGTTTCCTGTCTGGCATTAATACAGGATCTCAGTTGGGTTTTTCTCTCTGAGCATCTGTCTCTCTGGTGGAACATAGCGGGCATGTTGGATGCCTAGAAGGATTTGAGCTGTAAAGATTTGTACTTTTATTGCTGTTCTAATCTGATCTGTGCAGACCAAAGGGAATGTGGGTGAGGATGAAGGTCTGAAAGTTAAGAATTTGTAGAACATGAGACTTAGAAATCAATTTTTATATGGTCTTAGTGTCAAAACTTGCCCTAAGACATTTTCTTGATCATGTATAGGCATTCATTAAGGTTTTCTTGACAATTTTCCACCTGCTGTCTGATCCTTAGAATGTGAATTGTAAATTGGGACCAAGTTTTAAGTTCAGAAACTTACAAAATGTTTTAATTGTGTCTATGACAATATGTTTTCAGAACCTAAATAAAACAATTCCTAATGATATGACTACTTCAAATCACTAGAATTGGATCAAACTCACTTGAGATCGATGACACGGTAGTCACGAACATATATGTGGTATGTGCAGTTGATGTTGTGATGGTAGTTGGTGATAGAATGAGATGGACTGCTGATTGATCCAGAAGTACCATTAATTGTGCCACCGCAGGCTGTTAAAAACACATAAAAACACATATATCGATATATGTACAGTACCATATACACAGTAATCATAAAAACCAACATGTAGGGATGAAATTCATAGGAACAGCCCTAAATGTCTTGTTCATGTGCTTGAGGGTGACAGCTTTTCTTTGAGAAATTTGGGCTGTCTTCCCATACAGCACCAAGTCAAAGAGCACTTGACTGTGCATTTCTATTGTGCACCATTTACAGTGAATGAGTTTGTTTGTGGAAGTAACAGTGGAATCTGCATTGGAATTCTCTTGCATATTTGCATGTTCTCCCAAATCCCCTCATATTGTTTGAAAAGTGCAGCGTCCTCTCATTCTGCTCATTCCACATTTGTGGGCTCAGTGAATTAGCTCAACATTACTGCCATGATAAACAACCCAAATTTACTCTAGCACACACTTACATCCAAGCTACACCCCCTACACACCGCCATCTAAACCATATCCTTTATCAGTGTTCAAATTAATGAATTATTATTGTATTCTACTGATTGTCATTTTTTGCACTAATTGTCAGTACAGTATATAGAGAACCAAACAGTATTGCATTAAATGTACAGTTTGTTTTGTGGTTGAGGCTTATGCATGGTTCTGTATTCTGCCAGGAAGTCATTGTCATGGATGATAGAATCAGAGTAGAAGTTGATGAGCATTGGTCCAAATGTGGTGAAGACACCTGGGATGGTATTTCCACAAAGAGTAGCCAAGGGAACACCACTGGGGGTGATGCCACTATAGATCTTTACACCATCATAGACACATGTGGAGTGTGCTAGAGAAGATAGAAAGGCATGATTATTCACCTTATAGAACTGCTGTTATCCTTATTTTTGTTAGAGTTATTTTTAGATTTCTTATGTCAAGATGTATTAAAAAATTATAGATTTTTGAGGAAGTGCATACCCTCTAATTGGAAAGTTTTAAAAATAAGCACAACCACAGTCTGATCTCCAGCATCAATAATAGAATTACAGTTGGAGCCTCCCGGGTAGTGGTCTGGGTAGTTTGGAGATACTTCACGGCGAGTTGAAGCTGTGAAATTGGCCCCACAACCTAAAAGATGATGTGAAATAGATCCATTGCATTATTTTAATTATTTGACAGGGGAAGAAAACCTGTAAAGAACAAACCAATCATACACTCTTATAATACATACTAGTGTAGATTGCAGCAGAGAACCCTTTGCCAGGTGTATCTGAGGACTGGAAACGAGCCGTAATAATATTTCGGGGTGCAATGACAGCAGCAGGGGCTGTAGTGCCACAACCAGTGGCCAAGAGATTCTTATAATTCTGTACGTTGTCAGCCCACACCTGTCAGGTAAATATAGACAGAATATGGAAAATGAATAACCAGATCCCCCAAAAAAACAACTTCAGGGAAGGTTTCTTTTTAAATGGTCATCTGTTTACTTGATTACTCTTTTGACACTGTCCACTCGAGTCTGGGATCTGGAAGTCACTGGCAAAGTCCATCTCTAGATGGTTTCCATCATGGGCGATGACGGTCCAGGAACATTCTGTATTGGCTGGGAAATTCTGAGGATAATTGGGAGATTTGATGGTGCCTGTATCAGCATGGATAATTCCTCCACATCCCGAAGAAGCGAAAGAAATTTCAGGAAAAAAAAAAGAAAGTCCATCTCTAGATGGTTTCCATCATGGGCGATGACGGTCCAGGAACATTCTGTATTGGCTGGGAAATTCTGAGGATAATTGGGAGATTTGATGGTGCCTGTATCAGCATGGATAATTCCTCCACATCCCGAAGAAGCGAAAGAAATTTCAGGAAAAAAAAAAAGTAATTCAATATGTGAAATGTCTACAGAAAGTAGACAACGAGATATATTTTTTTATACCTGATGAGTCCATTGACCAGGTGGCAGTAAATCCTCCTCTGGACACTGTATGATCATCAAGGAACAATACAACTAACTTGTTGGAGCCTGATTGGATAGTTCCTGGAGAGTTGTGGCCACAGTATTGACCAATAACTGGGGATCCTGGTGAGGCTCCATTGAAGACTGTTACAGAGTCCCAGGTGCACTGGCTGTGTTCCTCCATTTCAAAGTATGTAAAAGTGAGCTAGAATATATGGAAATTAAGTGACGTTAATGATGAACTTCATTGTTAAGGTTTGAAGAAAACAGTAAAAAAAACAGCAGACTCAAGAAGAAGTTTTGATTTACAATGATAGTGTGGCCCACCGGAGCCTCGAGAAGCCAAGTACAGCGGCTTGGGCTGGGGTAGTTATTAGGATATCCAGGGCTAGAGATGGCACCTCCCTCTCCACTTTGTGACCCTCCACATTCTGAGGAAAATCATTTGAGCTCATGCAGGATTTTAAAGAGCAGAGATCCAGCTCTCTGAGTGTCACTGATTAAAAAATGTTACCTGAAAAGTAATATGTGGCTTTGAAGCCCAGATCAACCACAGCCTCATCAGACAGGAAGTGAACCCAGAGTTCAGGGGTGGACACTACTATGGGGATCGTAGGAGGGGATTGACCACATAAATGAGCCAAAAGCTCTCCATTCATATCTCCTGAATACGAGAAACAGATAAAACATGCCATAATTGTTTGCTTATCAGCAACAGCTTTAAAGTAAATGGTACATTGGATGGTGTACATAATGTTATTTCTCTTTTACTGCATTTGGAAAATCTTACCCAGTCTGAACTCCAAGTAGTTTGGTGATGCTCTAGATGGAGCTCATCTATAATAACCACAATGGAAGAATTCATATGATGTGGGTTGTGGATTAGCCATTCACAGTTCAGGTTGTTGCTGTAGTTTCCATTGCCAAAGTCGGGCGGGGTGAAGTTTCCAGGTTCACCGAGTATCCCACCACACACTATCAAAAAGACAAAGATTCACCAATCAAATCAGGATCCAAAAACAAACAAACAAAAAGCATATACGAAAGTCAGAATTCTTCTCTCTCACCTGTAGCCTCCTCTGAAGAGTAATCTGCCGTGAATCCACCATTAGACACAGATGAATCAGTGCTGAAAATTACAAGCATAGCATTCCCGGAAGATTTCAACTGGGTACCAGCAGGGACTGTCCCACATAACCGACCCAAATGTGGGGCACTGGATGTCAGACCATTTATATCCTACCAACCCAAGAATCAAAACAGCAAAGCAGTGTTAAAGCACTGAATTGAACAATATTCAGAGAAAGCAATACATAGTTTTGGGAGATTTGATGGTGCCTGTATCAGCATGGATAATTCCTCCACATCCCGAAGAAGCGAAAGAAATTTCAGGAAAAAAAAAAAGTAATTCAATATGTGAAATGTCTACAGAAAGTAGACAACGAGATATATTTTTTTATACCTGATGAGTCCATTGACCAGGTGGCAGTAAATCCTCCTCTGGACACTGTATGATCATCAAGGAACAATACAACTAACTTGTTGGAGCCTGATTGGATAGTTCCTGGAGAGTTGTGGCCACAGTATTGACCAATAACTGGGGATCCTGGTGAGGCTCCATTGAAGACTGTTACAGAGTCCCAGGTGCACTGGCTGTGTTCCTCCATTTCAAAGTATGTAAAAGTGAGCTAGAATATACTGCAATTATGTGACGTTAATGATGAACTTCATTGTTAAGGTTTGAAGAAAACAGTAAAAAAAACAGCAGACTCAAGAAGAAGTTTTGATTTACAATGATAGTGTGGCCCACCGGAGCCTCGAGAAGCCAAGTACAGCGGCTTGGGCTGGGGTAGTTATTAGGATATCCAGGGCTAGAGATGGCACCTCCCTCTCCACTTTGTGACCCTCCACATTCTGAGGAAAATCATTTGAGCTCATGCAGGATTTTAAAGAGCAGAGATCCAGCTCTCTGAGTGTCACTGATTAAAAAATGTTACCTGAAAAGTAATATGTGGCTTTGAAGCCCAGATCAACCACAGCCTCATCAGACAGGAAGTGAACCCAGAGTTCAGGGGTGGACACTACTATGGGGACTGTAGGAGGGGACTGACCACATAAACGACCCAAGAGCTCTCCATTCATATCTCCTGTATACAAGGTACAGATAAAACATGCCATATAACAGCTTTAAAATAGAGTCAAAGTAAATGGTACATTGGATGGTGTACATAATGTTATTTCTCTTTTACTGCATTTGGAAAATCTTACCCAGTCTGAACTCCAAGTAGTTTGGTGATGCTCTAGATGGAGCTCATCTATAATAACCACAATGGAAGAATTCATATGATGTGGGTTGTGGATTAGCCATTCACAGTTCAGGTTGTTGCTGTAGTTTCCATTGCCAAAGTCGGGCGGGGTGAAGTTTCCAGGTTCACCGAGTATCCCACCACACACTATCAAAAAGACAAAGATTCACCAATCAAATCAGGATCCAAAAACAAACAAACAAAAAGCATATACGAAAGTCAGAATTCTTCTCTCTCACCTGTAGCCTCCTCTGAAGAGTAATCTGCCGTGAATCCACCATTAGACACAGATGAATCAGTGCTGAAAATTACAAGCATAGCATTCCCGGAAGATTTCAACTGGGTACCAGCAGGGACTGTCCCACATAACCGACCCAAATGTGGGGCACTGGATGTCAGACCATTTATATCCTACCAACCCAAGAATCAAAACAGCAAAGCAGTGTTAAAGCACTGAATTGAACAATATTCAGAGAAAGCAATACATAGTTTGAATGCTGGGTTAACACAGAATGTCCAACTTTTTGACATCTCTAAAAAAATACAGATGACCTCACCTCCACATAGTCAAACATACAGGTGCCGTGCTCCTCCAGCCTCAGGTCATTGATCGTAAGAGTGACCCTACGACCCGGAGAAACAGTGATTCTCCAGCGGCATATTCGGCTGTGGGGGTACAGATTAGGGTAGTTGGGAGATGATATCGTCTCGAATGGTGAGTTCAGATCCCCTTCACACTCTATAAGAGCAACAATAGCTTATTACCAGTTACCCATGGAACTGCTCAATAACCAACAGCACAACTATGTAGGTTTTTATCCAAAACAATTAGTCATGAGCTTTACCCACTGGACTCTATGACCCTAACTGGACACTGTAAGGATTTAAACACACTTGCCTTCAACGCTGGCTTCAAAGGATAAACTAAACCCTGCAGCATTCCAACTGCCATCACTGACAAACTTTACATAGGCAAAACTGTCTCCAGTGTCCAGGGGAGCAGGAAGGCTGTTTCCACAGTGTTTCCCCAGCAGGCGACCTGATGAGAAAGTAAAGCTTAGTTTACTATCCTCAACAATCAGAAAGACTCAACTTGCTTTTATGTAAGAAGAACCCAAACCTGAAGCATTGTATTCTCGTATCTCCACATAGTCATTGTTACAATTGGAGGAGCTCTGCAGGTCAAGGGTGGTATAGGTGAGGGTCAGGTAGTTTCCAGTGGGACCTTCCAGGTACCATTCGCAGTTAGAGTTGTCTGGATAATTTGAGTCTGGATAACCGGGGCTTCTAATGATACCACTCTGGCCAATGAGGGTACCTTCACATGTAGCTAAGAAGGGAAAGAATACTCTTTAAACCATTGAAACATTGAGTTTGGTTGGAATGTCATGGGGATTCAAAGTGGATTACCAATGGAGTACTTGGCTTTAAAAACCAATATGTGTGATGCTGCCGTCAGTTCGGAATCGTATATACATGGTGGTGCCGGATGAATGCTGTGTAGATGGGTGGGTGTTGCCACAAAGTCTTCCCATCAAAGCAGCATCTGATGTGGGACCATCACGGACCTTGATGTAGTCATACATACATCTAGGAGAGAAGATTGTGATTATGGTCAAACACTTACATGTACCAAAAGTTAGCAATTTGATTGTTCAAAATATATTAAACATACCCGGTATGAGCCTCAATGTAGAAATTACCTTCAAAGTCAAGTTGTACAGCCTCCCCATTGGGAACAGTGATTATCCATACACAGTTGATATTTTGGGGGTAGTTTGATGGATAGTTAGGAGACGTGATGTAACCTAGTGGATCTCCATCATTAAGCTCAATGAAACCACCACAAGTTGGAGACAAACATAGATTTACTCGTATTTATTCTTAAACCATTTATTATCAAATTAATCAAAATTACTGGAATATTCTATATTAGTTCAAAGTATTTACCTAAACTGTGGGCCTCAAATACCAGTTTGAAGCCATTCCCCTCATTGGAGCCATCAGAGACAAAATGGGCATAGAGGCTGTTGTCTGTGGTCTGAAATCTGGACGGAGCGCTTTACCCACAGAGACGCCCTGATAGAGTCGGTGAGTTGCCATCAGGTCCGTTCCGTAACTAATACAAAATAATCAATCAATTTAAAGCTTTTCCCTCATATGCAAAAGGACAATTTGCATGATGTACAGGTAACTTCTTCTATAGTCACTCACCTCCAAGTAGTCACCTGTGCTGCATTGATTGCCATAACCCTGTATTTGGAAAGGACTTTGGAAAGTTACGGACACTCTGAATCCTGGGGTGACCATTACTTGCCAGTTGCAGTTCATGTTGGGCTTGTAGTTCTGTTGATACTGAGGAGAACTTAGAACCCCTCTGTCTGTATGGAGGAAACCACCGCAACCTGATGGAGAAGGCAAAAGAAAAATAGCTCAAAGCCCAACTATAGATGTATAATATACAGCAAACTTATACCATCATCATGATAAGAATTTGGCTCATGGACATGCTGTTCACCTCTGGAAAAGGTGGCATTAAAGCCCCTGCCATTAATGCTGCCATCAGAGGTGAATCGAAGGAACATGGCATCACCAGTACAGTGCAGAGAGCCAGGCAGCTGCCGCCCACAAATACGTGCAATCAGTGGAGACAAGTTGGTGTTACCTTAAAAAAAACAAAAAACAAACAACAACCTAATATTAAGTCGTTAATGTAAGTTTTGAGTTGGGAATTATGTTGAAGTGAATTCATACAGCAAAACCTACCATCCCTGATGGCCAGACTGTCATGGAGACACGAAACCTCATCTTCCATGTCCAGAGAGAGCAGATTAAACTCAACGATAGAATTTGGAGACCAGATTACCCGTGAACAGTCAAGGTTATGCTGATACAGCTCGGGCAAACCAGGAGAGAATAAGAACTGGGGATTGTCTCCTGTCATCACTGTTCCTCCACAAGCTACTGAAAAGACAAAACAATAGTAAATAATTGTGAAATAATGAGACCAAGCAGCAACATTTTTTTGATTTGAGCAAGATCTGAGAGGCAGGTTCCTTAGGGAAGTAACCTGGCTCTATAGTCGGCAAGGGACCAGTGCACTAAACAGCCGTCCACTCAGTGAGGAAGCCTTGCCCTCCAATCAGTGTCAGATTTAAACTCAAGCGTTATAGTGCTGTCTGAACTTCTTACTGGGTTGGGCAGAGTCAGGCCGCAGAACTCACCCAGTAGGAAAGCATTGGTGCTCGGACCATCATATATCTAAAGAAGGGAAGCACTGATCTTCATATGCCTGCATACGTTTATTTTCTGTTAAACCATTATAGCACTTAAAAGTTATGTTTTAAACAAGAGTGCAGACCTTGAGCTTGTCATAATAGCAATTGAAGAGATCCTCAATGTCAATGTCCGGGAACTGAATCTGGATGTGGGAATCTGAGTCCACTGTGAGGGTCCAGTGGTAGTCAGCATTGTTTGGGTAGGTGCGTGGGTAAAGATGGGAGGCTATCTGTCCTGAGCTGTCCGTGATCTCATTTCCATACACTGAGGACTCAGGAAAAGAGTAAAGATATTCTCATGTAAGGTTTTCTAACTTCAGGAGATTTTAACCAGCAAGACTTCTTTGTACAACCATAGCCAAGGTTTTTGGTGCACAGAATGACTATCCAGGTCCAGGAAACCAGCATTAACCAACTTAATCATCCTGGACTAGAATGGAAATTCAGGCTAGTCTTTGTTGGTATTTTCAGCAGGGTCCACATAAAAAAAGAAAATAGTAATCCATTGCTCTGACTTACAGTGGGAGAATACTGCTCTAAATCCAGCTCTGCTGACTGAGGAGTCAGAGACAAACTTGTGTAGTCGGAAGAAAGGGAATCACCACAGAAACGACCGACCAGAGTACCAGTGGAGTGTCCCTCACGAACCTCTAGGTAGTCATTACTGGAGTCTGAACTTTGTTGCAGCTGGAACATTCTGCATCACAAAAAGTACAGCACTGTTTGTTTTGATAAATCCATTACATTTGTGAGTTCAATATAACATCCTGATCGGCTTACATGAAAGATAGTTGTAGACGGTTCCCTGGGGAACTAGTGATGGTCCACACACACTCCACATTAGGTGGGTATACATCAGGATAGTTTGGACTGTTAAAAGCACCTGACTCCATATACAGATGTCCCCCACAGCCTGGAAAAACAGGTAACTGAATAGTGTTAAATTGCAGCCTTACTTGGGTGAAAAATTAATATGTATTTTGAAACAAATACTGAAATCTAACCCTGAGGTTGAGGCCATGTAGGCTGCTCTAAAACCTTTCCTCCCAACTGAAGCATCTGAGATGAAGTTTACCACCAGGGCATTGCTGAATGAAGTGACTGGGTGTGGCAACTCATTCCCACAGTAACAACCTGGAAAAAGGTTACTAGTTACTACTAACCATAACTGCATCAGCATTTTCGGAAGTACACACCACCCGATATTTCACCGGTTTTCGACTATTCGGATGTTTTGCTGGACATTGTTGTCGGGGGAGCTGTGGCGCTGATCAAACGCTTCAGGACGCGCAGACGGGGGAAGCGAGCCGGCGCTCTCGTGAAGCTCAGACAGCGCGGATTCAGGACGCCGTTGCCTAGCATCCATCTGGCGAACCTCCGCTCTTTACCCAACAAAACGGACGAACTTCTTCTGCTCCTCCGTCAGGCCAAAGAAGATGCTCACAGGAAGGGGGATAATGTCTTGTATGAACAGGCTAAATACACACTGGAAAAGGAGATCAGAGTGGCAAAGAGGAATTATTCAGAAAAAATAAGGATTAAATTCTCTTCCAGTGACTCGGCATCAGTGTGGAAAAGTCTAAAAGAAATCACCAATTACAAGACACCATCCCCCAGCACTGTGGAGAATCAACACCTGGCAGACGATCTGAACGAGTTCTACTGCAGGTTTGAAAAGACACCCCACACCCGCCCTGAACACCTCTCCACACAACCATTCACACCTCCAGCAACCCCCCTCTCCCCCACACCTGCAATTCAGATCAGCGAAGACGAGGTGCGCCAGGTCTTCCGGAAGCAGAAAAGTAGAAAAGCACCAGGCCCAGACTGTGTTACACCAGCCTGTCTGAAATCCTGTGCTGACCAGCTGGCCCCCATCTTCACACAGATCTTCAACAGATCACTGGAGCTGTGCGAAGTCCCTTCATGCTTCAAACGCTCCACCATCATCCCCGTCCCAAAGAAACCCAAAATTACTGGACTTAATGACTACAGACCTGTGGCTCTAACGTCTGTGGTCATGAAGTCTTTTGAAAGACTGGTGCTGGCCCACCTGAAGGACATCACTGGACCCTTGCTGGATCCTCTTCAGTTTGCCTACAGAGCAAACAGGTCTGTGGACGATGCAGTAAACATGGGACTGCATTATGTTCTGCAACATCTAGACAGACCAGGGACTTATGTGAGGATCCTGTTCGTGGACTTCAGCTCGGCCTTTAACACCATCATCCCAAACCTCCTCCTGCCCAAACTATCTCAGCTCTCCGTGCCCACCTCCGTCTGTCAGTGGATCAACAGCTTCCTGACAGACAGGCAGCAGCTAGTGAGGCTGGGAAAATACACATCCAGCACCCGTACGATCAGCACTGGAGCTCCTCAGGGTTGTGTTCTCTCTCCACTGCTCTTCTCCCTGTACACCAACGACTGCACCTCTAAAGACCCCTCTGTCAAGCTCCTGAAGTTTGCAGACGACACCACACTCATCGGCCTCATTCAGGACGGTGACGAGTCTGCTTACAGACAGGAGGTCGAGCAGCTGGCTGTCTGGTGCAGTCTCAACAACCTGGCGCTCAACACGCTAAAAACTGTGGAGATGACCGTGGACTTCAGGAGAAACCCCTCTGCACTCCCCCCACTCACCATCATGGACAGCACTGTGACTGCAGTGGAGTCATTCAGGTTCCTGGGCACCACAATCTCTCAGGACCTGAAGTGGGACACTCACATTGACTCCATTGTGAAAAAGGCCCAGCAGAGGTTGTACTTCCTTCGCCAGCTGAGGAAGTTCAACCTGCCACAGGAGCTGCTGAAACAGTTCTACTCTGCCATTATTGAATCTGTCCTCTGCACTTCAATAACTGTCTGGTTCAGCTCAGCTACCAAATCTGACCTCAGAAGACTTCAGAGGGTAGTCCGGACTGCTGAGCGAATCATTGGTACAACCCTCCCTTCTCTCCAAGAACTGTACTCGTCCAGAGTGAGCAAAAGGGCTGGCAGAATCACTCTGGACCCCTCACATCCAGCACACTCCCTCTTTGAACTGTTGCCATCTGGTCGACGCTACAGAGCTCTGAGCACCAGAACGACCAGACACAGGAACAGTTTTTTCCCTCAGGCCATCCATCTCATGAACACTTAACAATAACTGTGGAACACACACTATTTATTCACTCATACACTTATTTATCTAACACTCATACTCAGTCTACATTTCAATTTGCACATAATATACCTGTATATACAACTGTCTATTGTTATATACCTGTACATACAATTGTCGATTTGTATATTTTTATTCCTTAGTTACTTGTTCTATTTTTCTATTTTTTATTATCTGTGTTTTTGTTCTGTCACTGTCATTCTGTTACACTGTGGAGCTTCTGTCATGAAAACAAATTCCTCGTATGTATAAAAACTCATTCATTCATTCATTCATTCATTCATTCATTCATTCATTCATTCATTCTCATTCATTTTATGAAACATTTAAACTGTCACCTGAACAGTAAGTATCCTAACCAAATAAAATGTGATAAAGTGTCAAAAGCTAGATCTAATTTCTGATATATACACACATATATAGGTGATATCCTATTGCAATCAGAGTATGTCTTTGGCTGTTCCTCAAGGAAGAGATATTTACCAACAGATGGGGCTTGGTAATTGTCTCCATCCAGAACCTCCACACTATCATGAGAGCAGTTACTATACACCATCTCAACCTCAAAGTCAGTGAAGGACAAAGTCACATGATTGACTGAAAGAAATATAGGACAGTAGAGATCAGAAAATCTGTTAAGATACATTAAAGGCAATACAAGCAAGTAGTTTTGCAAAAAGCCTTGGTTTTGAACTTGAGATAATGGATGCCAAGTATGACCAGCAGACTTACATGGCTCCTGTGCCCGTATGATCCATACTAACCATAACTGCATCAGCATTTTATGAAACATTTAAACTGTCACCTGAACAATAAGTATCCTAACCAAATAAAATGTGATAAAGTGTCAAAAGCTAGATCTAATTTCTGATATATACACACATATATAGGTGATATCCTATTGCAATCAGAGTATGTCTTTGGCTGTTCCTCAAGGAAGAGATATTTACCAACAGATGGGGCTTGGTAATTGTCTCCATCCAGAACCTCCACACTATCATGAGAGCAGTTACTATACACCATCTCAACCTCAAAGTCAGTGAAGGACAAAGTCACATGATTGACTGAAAGAAATATAGGACAGTAGAGATCAGAAAATCTGTTAAGATACATTAAAGGCAATACAAGCAAGTAGTTTTGCAAAAAGCCTTGGTTTTGAACTTGAGATAATGGATGCCAAGTATGACCAGCAGACTTACATGGCTCCTGTGCCCGTATGATCCAGCTACAGTTCTGATTGGGTGGGTAAGAGTATGGATAGCGAGGAGATGCAATCTCCCCACCCACATCATCAGCTGTTATAGTGGATCCACATGCTGGAAGTCATAAGAGTAATCAATGAGGTTTGAAACAAACCATGACAAAATCATGTGGGCTCACCAATGAAGATTGCACTCACCTTCTGAGAACTGGGCACTGAAGCCTTTATGGTTCTGACTGTGATCAGACCTGAAGCGAACATAGATGACGTTTGTTGTGGACGTAATGGGAGAAGGCCTGGCTACTCCACAAAATTTACCCAGGAGTGGAGAAGACTCATGTGAACCATCATGGATCTAGAGAGTAGAACATGATTCTTTTGTCCATAAATTGGTCTAAACTGTGATGCATTGGTCTGTAACATCATGAAATCACAAATGTTGCCACCGCGGGCATTAAATCCATCATCCGCACACAGAAAGGTCAGCTACTCACAGCCACGTAATCAAAACCGCACGAGCTGTGACTTTCAACATCCAGATCAGTGAAGTTGAAGAAGACTCAATGCCCTACATCCCCTGTGATGACCCAGGAACAGTCAACATTGTCAGAATAGTTGCTAGGATACTCTGGAGAGTGGATCTCTCCACTGGGGGCCGTGACAATCCCTCCACATCCTGAATTTTCAAAGGGAAGATTTTAAGAAGTTCATTAGCAAAGTCTCAAAATAATATAATGGCATAGTATTCAACTACAGATAAAAAAAATCTACAATTGTCAGTTGACTAACCTCCAGGAACCTCTAGCCAGGTTGCGTTGAAGCCTCTACCACTCAAGGCATCAGATGTGAATCGAACGGTAACAGCGTTACCTGTGCTGGCCACCTGCAGAGGGTTATTGTGAGGGTGTGTGGTGCAGAGCTGGGCCAATCGTGGGGAGGAGAGGTCAGGCCCTCCATACACCTGGATAAAAGTCAAAGGTGAGGGGATACTAACAAACTAGCCTTTTTGAAGACCAGGGTCATTTAAAAATGTCTGAAAGTCACTGCATTAGACAACAAAATATCAAACTACGTGGGTTCAAAAAACAAACAAAAATGGTACTAGAGATTTTCTCAGACCCAACTTGACTGTTTATTGATATCATGACTTTTAACCACCTAGTCCCATACAATATAATTATATTAGCTATTAGCTTTTTTCACCAAGTTTGACTACCAGAAAGTGTCAAAATATCAAATTTGATCAATTTTGCACAGTCGGCTGTTTTATATTGTGAAATGTTTTGCATGAAAAGTGTACTTGTGCTGTCTTTAAGATAAATACCCCTGTCTTTTTAAGACAATCATACACATCTAACTGTTAGGTGTCCAAATATTGCAGATTGTCTCTGTTTTCTCAGTTGTGATGAGCAAGCAAACAAGCCATGTAATAAACCATGGGCCACTAAAATGAATGCCATTTTAAAACAATGTCTGGTTTTGGTCTGACATCTGTGCGGCACAGAAAGTGTATGTTTGTGTGCATGTGAGACTGTCGCTAAGCCCTCTCTCTAAGCTCTGATTTCCAGTTAATTTCTGCCCTGTTGGCTCCATTCAGTGCTACAGTGGAGGTCAGCATTCCACATGTCTACACAACAAACCAAACACCCACAGAATCCAGCCGATGCCAACGGGGTATGAGCAGGCACACACCCATATAAAGACACACACACACACAAAAAAGATCTCAATGATGGACAAGTGAGTCATTTTAGTGAACAGAATATCACCTAACACTTATTAAAGGTAATAATTCAGAATATAAAATCGAGGAATACTTGAACACTACTTACTGGGCAGTATGTTCTATATACAGTCTTTAAAAAAAAAAAAAAAAAAAAAAAGCATGAAGTTTGTAAAAAAAAGCAAAGAGCTACTCTTTCATTTTCAAAATGGCACAACTGGCTTGTGTCCATGAAATACATTCATTTTGTTGAATTGAGGAATTTCTACAGCACCTGCATTATTTAATCCCTCAATTGCCTTTTTTTTAAACTTTCACTTATTATAAGGACGACTCTTTGTATCTCTCTCTAGGGACGTCTCTTCTGTCCCTGTGTCTTTTTACTCTTTGTTTGTCATTTTTTTCCCTCAGGAAGGTTTTTACAGCTGCAAAACTGTGCTGTGCACATTACATAATAACATTACAGTGTTCATTCTCTACACATTGTGTCCATGGAAACCAAGACCATTTCCTTCCAAATAATGACTTCATCACAGACAGAGTTGCATGAATAATTACTTTCACTTATTATAAGGACGACTCTTTGTATCTCTCTCTAGGGACGTCTCTTCTGTCCCTGTGTCTTTTTACTCTTTGTTTGTCATTTTTTTCTCTCCCTCAGGAAGGTTTTTACAGCTGCAAAACTGTGCTGTGCACATTACATAATAACATTACAGTGTTCATTCTCTACACATTGTGTCCATGGAAACCAAGACCATTTCCTTCCAAATAATGACTTCATCACAGACAGAGTTGCATGAATAATTAAAGTCTCTCTCTCTCTCTCTCTCTCTCTCTCTCTCTATCTATCTCTCTCTATCTAACTCTGATCCCGTTCTCTGTGCAAAAATAACAGTCCACACCCTTCAGCAATGTTACTCGATGTCTCACAAGCACAAGGACAGATAAACATACAGACAAAACATCACACTAAAATATGGCTCAGTATCTGACAGATTTATGTCTTGGTCTTTCTTCTTTGATATAAGTGACTGATCATGTAATGTCATAACCTTGACAAAATAATGACAAAATAAAAGGTAATTTTAGTGAATTTGAAAACTAATGTCAGATTAAAGTGTGAAAGTTTTTTATCTTTTTTTTTTTTCGGCTGTATTTCTCAAAAATCAATGACTTTTCAGAGGAAATCCAACCAAAGACATCATATCAGTAATTCAGACCATCTGTTCTACAGCCTTAGGAACAAAAGTGTGCTGTGATATTGTTGGCTTGTGCACAAAATCTCACATTCCGAAAGGAAGAAGTCATCAGAGGCCAAAAAATATCCACTACAGCTGTCTATGTATTTACCCAGCTGATGAATGCCTATCTATGGAATGAGGTTTCACTGAAAACAGAGCGTAGCCTTTCTCAAGGCTGCCTGAGGAAAAAGGCAAAAACTCAACATCTCTACAAGAGGCCTCAATGATGTCATCACTGTTTGGATCGCCATGGTGATGAGTGAACGGAGAGGAACTAAAAGGTCCATTGTACATTTTCAAAGACTCTGCCAGTAAATCACTGTAGTGTAACGGAATGACAAACTGTCCAGCATGAATTAGGCTTCTTGACCCCTTCACAGAGAAATAATAAGATAATACAAGCTTGAATAGACACGTAGATGGTCCTTGAGTAAGAAAACCAACTCAGACTCTCAAAACAGATCTCTTAAAGTCAACAAGAACCAGCATTCACAACCCATTTCATTTTCGCAACGTGAGAAAAACAACATATTCAATGAGAAAATGGGCGGGACTTGATTCCATCCATCAGGAACTGATTGGATCATGAATAGTGGGCGTTCCATATCAGAATAAACCCAAACTGAAAGCTGAAGGTCAAGTTCCCCATCAAGAGCATCTCAATGCATCCTTTTCTTTTTCACATCTATTGTTATTTCTCTAGCCTTTTCAAGATTTCAGGCAGGACGTAGCCTAAAACGATGCCTAAATAGCTAATTGGCTATTGGTTAACATTAACATCCAGTGTGACGGAGTAATAACATACAAAATATGACCAGGAAGTCTATTAAGAAAACAAATATGGTCCATTTCAATTTCATGTTGACGTTAAGCAGCAATGCTTGGTACATTTTGAGATTTTTTAAGGTTGTATAATTTAAGACAAAGCATGTGCTGACCTTCACATAGTCATAGGCACATCCGATGTGGTCCTCCACATCAAAGGTTATAAAAGTGTAGTTGATAGTGTTGCCCATGGAGGCCTGGATGGTCCAGCTGCAGTCAGCACGAGATGGATATATTCATTGGAGAAGTTGCTAACACTTTACTTGAAGGGGTGTGCATAAGACTGACATGACACCTTCATAATCATGACATGAAACATGTCATGAATATGAAGGAGGTTTTATGCATGTTTATGACAACTGTCATTAAGTGTCATTCGCTCAGTTCTGTAATTTTTAATGCAAATATGACATTATTTGACCTAACCCTACCCCTACCCTTACCCCTAACCATAGCCCATAACAAAGACATCTCAAACAATGTCATCTTTGCATTAAAAATTACAGAACTGAGCAAATGACACTTAATGACAGTTGTCATAAACATGCATAAAAACCCTTCATATTCATGACATGTGTAATGTCATGATTATGTAGGTGTCATGTCATGATTATGAAGGTGTCATGTTAGTCTTATGCACACCCCTTCAAGTAAAGTGTAACCGAGAAGTTCAAGCTCTCAATCTTTCCCCGGCTCCGATTGGCGATGAGCACACCTTGGCAAACTACAGGAGAAAAGCCAGTCCTGATTAACAGCATAATAACAACATGAGTTGGGAAGAATTATTGAACATTAAGAACTTGCTGAAATTTTGGAGAATATTTAATAGTTTACAGCAAAAATAAATGAAAAATAAACTATATTTTTACATTTTCTTCAGGGTTTTCTGGGCTTATCAACCCAGGTGTTCGGTGTAACTCACTGGTTTGGTAGGTAGCCAGAAATCCGCCTGTGTGGATGATGCTGTCTGTACGTAGCTTCACGTACATGTTCTGTCGGGAGGAACTGATGGGGGCAGGAATCTCATTACCACACAGCTTAGCCATCTGAGGAGCACTGGTGCTGTCGCCATCATACACCTGGTAGACATATACACATCAGGAAAAGATTCAAACTCAATACCTTGAACAGAGAACTCTACACTGTGAAGTAAATCTTCTAATTCAATGCTCTTTAAGTAGTCATAGAAGCAGTTCATGCTGTTCTCCAGGTGAAAGTCTCCAAAGCTGAGCTCCACTGTGCTTCCTGCACTGGTTTTGATGTGCCAGTAACATTCGGCGTTGGCGTGAAAGGGCAGAGCGTAGTTGGGAGAGGTGAAACCTCCAACGCAAAACTTTGTTGAAATTACTATGATTTCTGGGAAACAAAATTGTGTATATAAGGTTGATATTAGCGCTCAATATGAGCACTTCTGAGGAATAAATATTTCCTGGATTTGATAGTTTGCAAGGTCTGTTTCATTAAATATTGTAAAGATATTCAGATTTTTGTTAGAGGCACTTAATAGCAAATATTTTATAGTAGACCATCGATATGTAATACTCTAGAATAGTGTTGTTATTGTTAACTAAAACTAAATATATTAAAATTGATTAAAATTTATAAAAATATGAAAATATACACATATTTTCTTTATTAAAATACTTGAAGTACTAAAATTGCTAAAAGAAACTATAAAATATAATTACATACAATAACATTATAAATATAATTACATTTTAAATATTATAAATTACTAAAAAATAAAGAAATAATATAAACCAAGCCAAAAGAAACAAAAAAAGAATTAAATAAAAATGGCAAAAGCACAATATTATTACAAAATTATCAAATTTTGTACAAGATAAGTACAAGATGGCGCCGACGCTGATGGCTGCCTCCGTGGCGTGCTCCGCAGTTGTTTTTATGTTTTTATTAGTTTGTCCTGTCTTTAGTTATATTTATACTAAAAATCGTTTTCGGTTACATTTTATTTTACAGTACGTGTACTTACCCAAGAAAGTACTGGGTAGTATAAGGTAACTATGTGTGTTAATGTTAGGTTTAGGGTTAGTACCTAATTATTACCCCGTTATTGTAATTGCTATAATAAGTACATCATTTTCTTTACTGAAATAAAACTAAATATAAATATTAGATTAAATACTTGAACTTAATAACAAAGGAAAATTATAAATGTTGCCTTGGCAACTAACTAAAATAATATAAGTTTAAAGTGCTAAAATTAATAAAAAATAAAACTTTAAATTAAAAATATTGGATTATAAACATGATACAATATTAAATACAAGTTACTAAAAAGAAAGCAAATAGGAATAAAAAAAGTAAAAAATTAAATGAATATATAAAATAAAAAGCTCATTCTCAATATTAAATACTATAATAGTATAAATAATAATACAATAACATGGTTTTAGACATATAGAAATGATCTGTCAGGGATCCGGGTAGAGGGATGGAGCGAGGACTCAGTATTGCAGAAAATGGGTTTTATTTTAAAATAAAACAAAACAAACAACAAAAACTACCCCGAGGGGGAAAAACAGGCTGGCAAGGCAAGGCAAGGCAAGGCAAGGCAAGGCAAGGCAGGATCTGGACACATCCAGGGATTGACGATGACGAACTCACGCACGACTGCAAACACAAGGAGAATAAATGGAGAGCAAATGAGGAGGGTAACGAGGGATCACATGTGGGACAAATTAACTAATAATCAGGTAACAAGATGGGAGGGGTCAAGACAATTGACATGAGCACATGGCACACCGAATCAAAGACAAAAAGCCATGTGCTCACACAAAACAAAACACAAGCACATGGCCAGCAAAACAAATCACAAGCCATGTGCTAGAACAAAAGACACGAACACGCAGCTAATGAGACAACTCATAAGCCGCGTGTTCACACAAGACAACAAGAAAAGCACGCGGCTGAACACAAACCGCGTGCTTCACAAAACACAACACACGTGGACAGAAGAGCGCACGGCCGAGCGAACTCGAGACCGCACGCTCCCACAACAGACAGAACATGGAGCGCGAGTGTCCGGACCCCGACACGAAACCGAAACTCAAGACACGAGTGCCGGGATCTGAACACCACGCTCCAACATGAAACAGTACACGCAGACGAGAGCGCACGGCTCGAGCACACTCGAAGCCGCACGCTCACATGAAAACAATGACATGACGCGAGTGTCAGGGCTCTGTCACAAAACCATGAATTACACTAGACCGAAGTGACAGAACCCTGACATGATCATCATACATAAATTATGAGTCTGCACTGGAAATTATCTGCCACAAAACAAAACTGCAGTTGATCATTTTAAATGACTGCTAGAGAGTGTCTAAGTTGGCAGTTCTTGGCTAGACTTTATGCCATATTTTCATCAGATTCAATACGCAAGTACACAACAGGAAACGCATACCTGTCTGTGTGCCATCCCAGTGGGCTCTGAATCCCCTGTAGGTGAGTGAGTGGTCGGATCTGAACTTCAGCCACCGCCTGTTGCTATGTGACACTATGATGGGTGGACCATTTGTTCCACAATATTTACCAATGAGGGGGGATGTTTCATAGCCTCCATCTCTGTAAAAGAAAGGAAAGTGTTTGAAAATCAAAACGTGACTAAATCAATGATCCAAAATGCTGGAAAAGTTCCTCACCTGATCTCTAAATAGTCAAAACCGCAGGAACTGAACCCCTCCAGCTCAAAATATGTGACATTCAGCATGATCTGCATGTTGACTTCCACTATGATTTTATAGACACACTCCCGATTGTTGGGGTAATTGTCGGGGGAGTTGGGTGAGCTGAACTCCCCGGTGGGTGACCTAAATACCTCACTGCAATCTGCATGGGCAAAACAAAGAAATATGAGATTTAACAAGATTTATCTGTTCATATATTTTTCATGGCTTTTCAAATTGGATTTTCAGAGACCAGCAGGGCAGTCATCAGACTATCAGTGCTGGTTAGAGATGGAGGAACGGAGCGCCCACAGAACCTAAGCACAAAATAATCCAACATATTAATTTACTAATCTTGGCCTAAACGTTTAATGTCTTGGTTTACCTGCCCAGAAGAGTGACAGTCAGTGCTGTGCCATTATCATAGACTTCCACATGCGCAGTTGGTGTTGTACTCCAGGTTGAAGGTTGTGAATGACAGATGGATGAGGCTGCCAGGCTCAACGGAGATGTACCAGGTACAATTGGCTCCATGAGGGTAGTCGGTGGGATGTCCTGGGCTGGTGAATGAACCCGTTGGTTCTGTCAGAGTCTCCCCACAGCCTGTAAAAATGAACATAAGTGTTGAAATCATTTGAAAAAGCTTTTATCATTGGAGAATGATTATGTACTGTTCATTGTGGGAATCAAACCTATAACTTTTCAGATTCCAGAATTTCCAGGCCAGATTTTTAACCAGTACATCTCACCATCACTGGTCTACCAATATCTATTCACTTTGATTCACCAAACATAAGCATAAATGCGGAAAACTCTCAGTTGATTCAAATAATACTCTAATTAACATATTAGTCAACTTTTAAATTGCTTTTCACCACTGAATGAAATATAAGTATATTTATAATAGTCATCCACCGTCTTAGATTAACTTTTTCACTAACTTAAAGCATCTTAGAAGGCAGCATAATATATGCTGCACACAAATGTTTGTAATTTTTAGTATTTAAAAAAATACTGTAAAATGCTACAGTAAAGGCTTGTTAATTGGACTGTAAGTAACCTTACCATATACAGTGCAGTGAAAAAATGTAATATCACATATGTAATTTTACTGTAAAATCCTGTCAAATTTATGGTTTTTGGAAGTACCAGCTATGAGTTACCATAAATGAATAATATTATAATAATAACAGGACATTCCTAAAAGTCGTTACCTATCACATGTGATTGCATTACACTCAAGCAATTCATCCCAATATTGTAAGACAACTCACTTTGCCCATTTGAACCCAGTGTTGAACCAAGCATCATGTTCCGCTGGAGTTTGCAATGCAATGCATTTGCAATGTGACTTGTGACTTTTAATATCTATATAATGCCAATAAACTGTTTTATGAGCAGTATTCCACTGATGGATCCATTAAAATGACCCATAATTCAGTTCAGTTCACTGCTAATGCATTACGATTACAGCACATCATGTACATAACCACTGACTGCAAAAAAAAGAAAATAGTGCTGTAAAATTCAAATGTGTTAAGGAAACTGTTCACAAACTTCAAAAATTTGGGGCCAGTTAATACTTTTACTCAGAAAGGACAGTAAAGTCCATTTATAAAGGCATAAAGACAGTAAAGGCATTTATAATGTTGCAAAAATGCTATTCTTTTGAACTATGTATTCATGAAAGAATCCTGAAAAAAAATGTATTACCATTTCCACAAAAATATTAAGGAGTGTAACTGTTTTCAACATTGATAATAATAAGAAATGAGTCTTGAGCAGCAAATCAGCATATTAGAACGATTTCTGAAGGGTGACACTGAAGACTAGAATAATGATGCTGAAAATTCAGCTTTGCATCACAAGAATAAATTATATTTTAAAACATATTAAAAGTTATTTTAAAGTGTAACAATATTGCACAATATTACTATTTTTACTGCATTTTTATCAAATAAATGTAGCCAAAAACATCTTTCAGAAACATTAATTTGCCCATTAATGTAAAAAATTTTTTAAATAAAATCCAAACTTTTGAATGGTAGTGTACAGGTCTATTATCCTGCATAAAATGTCCCACAATTCCCCTCTCTCTGTGTGTTTTGACAGCATGGGCTTTACTTACATGGTGAAGTAGTGTATGTAATGTGAAATCCCCGATCGCTGATGCTGAAATCAGAGTGAAAGTGGATCCAGGTAGATCTGTAGAGGTGGTGGCGATGCTGTACTGCAGTATTTTCCAAGAACTGAGTCTTCTGGGAGCAGTCCGTCTCTGATCTACAAAATAAAGCCGGAAACTGAAGCATTTTAACACATACGCACAGAAAACCACTTTAAAGTGGAACCAAGATGCAACAAGCTTTACCTCCAGGTAGTCAAAGTTACAGTTATCATGGTGCTCCAGACTGAGGGAGCCAAAAGCAAATGTGATGAGCAGACCAGGGTTCACATTCACTGTCCAATAGCAGTCCCGGTTAGGTGGATAGTTACCTGGGTACCCGGGTGACTTGATGTCACCGTATGTATTGGTCAACTCCCCACCACACACTGGAAAAGAAAGAAGTATTGAAATAAGATACAATTCATGCAAATTCAAATAGTTGCTAATATCACAAAGTTAGCAATCATTTGGGCTAATCAGTAAAGGTCAGATTTACTGCTGTTTGGTGAATTTTCACATGCAAAATACAGTCATTTCAACAGGAATTGGGAAATTTCATGTGAGGGCGAAAGATTTCCCAATGCAGATTTCACAGTGGATTCAAGCTGATCATGTGATTCGGCACACTGACCAACAGAAAGCTGCTGGGTTTGAAAGTGACTTCTGTGTGGGTCAGAGCGGAACCAGAAGTACAGAGAATTGTGGGAGCTGAAGAGTTTGGTTGGGGCGGCAGTGCCACAGTATTTTTTGTCCAATCATGTAAGCTGATGCGCTCTCGCCATCATGGACCTGCAGGAAATCGAAGTTGCAGGAGGCGCTGTTCTCGATGTCAAAGAAAGGGAAGGAAATCCGCAGAATCTGGGAAAAACCACAAGAAAGCTTAAAATACAAAATGTTGTTAACTCAGCCATGCATCTTGAAAGAAAAAATCTGTTGATTTGCAAAAAAAAGACCTAAAATCAAAGTTTTTTTATTCACTTTCTAAAACTTTCTATCACTTACATTTTTTTTCACATAATAAGAATGACAAATTTTCAAATTACATATTTATCAGTCAAAAGTAAAAGCAAAATAAATCAAAATTTTTACATGTTGTTTATGCTATATACATTCATGCGCACACACACACACACACACACACACACATACATATATATATACATATATATATATATATACACACACACACACACACACACACATATACATACATACATACACAGTGTGTGTGTGTGTGTGTGTATGTGATTATAATAATTGTGAATAATTATGCACTTTTTCATCATCAAAAAAGTATTACCTTATCTGATGATGTGGAGTTCAAAATATCAATAAAAGCTTGCCATTATGTACATTGTTTTCACAAACATATTAAAAGTTATTTTAAAGTGTAACAATATTGCACAATATTACTATTTTTACTGCATTTTTATCAAATAAATGTAGCCAAAAACATCTTTCAGAAACATTAATTTGCCCATTAATGTAAAATTTTTTTTAAATAAAATCCAAACTTTTGAATGGTAGTGTACAGGTCTATTATCCTGCATAAAATGTCCCACAATTCCCCTCTCTCTGTGTGTTTTGACAGCATGGGCTTTACTTACATGGTGAAGTAATGTATGTAATGTGAAATCCCCGATCGCTGATGCTGAAATCAGAGTGAAAGCGGATCCAGGTAGATCTGTAGAGGTGGTGGCGATGCTGTACTGCAGTATTTTCCAAGAACTGAGTCTTCTGGGAGCAGTCCGTCTCTGATCTACAAAATAAAGCCGGAAACTGAAGCATTTTAACACATACGCACAGAAAACCACTTTAAAGTGGAACCAAGATGCAACAAGCTTTACCTCCAGGTAGTCAAAGTTACAGTTATCATGGTGCTCCAGACTGAGGGAGCCAAAAGCAAATGTGATGAGCAGACCAGGGTTCACATTCACTGTCCAATAGCAGTCCCGGTTAGGTGGATAGTTACCTGGGTACCCGGGTGACTTGATGTCACCGTATGTATTGGTCAACTCCCCACCACACACTGGAAAAGAAAGAAGTATTGAAATAAGATACAATTCATGCAAATTCAAATAGTTGCTAATATCACAAAGTTAGCAATCATTTGGGCTAATCAGTAAAGGTCAGATTTACTGCTGTTTGGTGAATTTTCACATGCAAAATACAGTCATTTCAACAGGAATTGGGAAATTTCATGTGAGGGCGAAAGATTTCCCAATGCAGATTTCACAGTGGATTCAAGCTGATCATGTGATTCGGCACACTGACCAACAGAAAGCTGCTGGGTTTGAAAGTGACTTCTGTGTGGGTCAGAGCGGAACCAGAAGTACAGAGAATTGTGGGAGCTGAAGAGTTTGGTTGGGGCGGCAGTGCCACAGTATTTTTTGTCCAATCATGTAAGCTGATGCGCTCTCGCCATCATGGACCTGCAGGAAATCGAAGTTGCAGGAGGCGCTGTTCTCGATGTCAAAGAAAGGGAAGGAAATCCGCAGAATCTGGGAAAA